TACATAAGTATATATCTACAAGTTACTTAGTACTTGTTGAGTTAAATATCAAATATAGGTGTTCAAGTGTTTGGGTAGATACAAGTGTAAAAAGCTATACTTACAAAATTTTAAATCAAGTACTAAGTGTAACTTATACCTAATTTATGCTTGAAAATGCTCATCCCTATTTGGGACTAAGGCTAAACATCAAGTATGAATATATATGATATTTGTAGGTATTTAACTTGTTTGGATATATATTTTACTTATATCTGTGAAGAGGTAGTTAAATACTGAGTATGAAAAATGCATACTTGCCAAGTATCAGATAAGTATTGGGTATGAGGGTTAATACTTGCATACCTGACCTATATATCTGACCCATATACTTAACCTGTATATTTGACCCATATACTTGACCTATATATCTGACCCATATACCTGACATGTATTCTAGTTTTATTTGCTTAATTTGTAATATAATGTTATGAAATTAAAATGTTTATGTTTTTTTTTTTTCTTTTCTTCTAGTATTAAAGATTCAACTGAAGGAAAATTACATAGATTTTTGTTTATATTTCTTTTGTTATTGTATATATAAACTTGTGTATATGTGAGTCTATATACTTACATATTTTGTTTTATATATAAATTTGTATTATATGCATAAACTTATAGTTGTATATTAACTTATATATTCTTAGTGTAAAATTTAAAAAGTATACAAATGTACAAGTTAAGTAATAAGTATAAATTTTCAATATCCAAATATGCATTGGATATTGAAATCTTGTATCTATCATTATTCAAGTCAAGTACAAGCATAAGCAAACACCTAACCCATAACTACCCATGTACGCCCCTTTTTGGGACCAGTCGATTTTCAGGTCTAAAATTTTGGGTCCCTAATACTGATCCAAATGTAACGAAAGGGATCAAGGTCCGTGGGCCTCATTGGTCGGTAAAAGCCCATAAATTAATTGAGACGACATCGTTCAAGAAATTTGCTACCACCGCCTTCTTTTCCTCCTAAATCCCTAGCTACAAACATCTTCCGGCACCCTCGCGCGCGCCCAAACCATATGGCAACCGGCGCGATTCAGAATCAGACCCAGCAGCCGAAGATCCGGTGGGGTGAGCTTGACGAGGACGATGGGGAGGATCTTGACTTTCTCCTGCCGCCTCGTCAGGTAATAGGACCGGATGAGAACGGGATCAAAAAGGTGATGGAGTACAAGTTCAACGATGAGGGAAATAAGGTCAAGATTACCACTACGACCCAGGTTAGGAAGCTCGCAAACGCCCGCCTTAGCAAACGGGCCATCGAGCGCCGCTCGTGGCCCAAGTTCGGTGATGCTGTCCGCGAGGATGTTGGCAGCCGCCTTACCATGGTCTCCACAGAAGAGATCCTACTGGAGCGTCCCAGAGCCCCCGGTTCGCTTCTCTCTCTGGATTTATGCATATATTGTTATTACACTGTCCTTTCCAATGATTGAACTTTATTTCTTTTTCCATGATTTGGGTTTTGTTTAATTTGTTTGGATTTGATTACTGAAAAAAGATGCATAATTGCACATTTTTCCTAGTAATTTGGTGCTGGTTTTTTTTTTTTTCTTTTCTCAATTGGATATATCTGTTCTTTATATGAAAAAATATATATTGTGATAAATGTGTTTGATGCATAGGGGAAAGTTACTGTTTTTTTTTTTTTTTCGGTGCCGAGATTTTGTTATTGTACTTTCAGGAGTGATGAATTATGTTACATGTGCAAAATTACGTACCATTTTGGATTTTACTCATCTCTCACTTCAGACACAGACTGTGTGTTTGCATATATAGAGTTTGAAAGTGTGCCGTGTAATTTTTCTTAGTTACATAACGTAGTACATCTTGTTAATTTTTCATTCCATTTTGTTGTTTCTTTTTTGAAACTTTTGATTTCTCAGAATTGTTTGACAAAAGTGGTCGGAAACCAATGCATTTCTTGTTTTTTTATGATGATGATGATGATGATGATAGTGATAAACTTTGGTGTTCTTTACAGGTAGCAAACCAGAAGAAACTAAGGTTGCAGGAGATTCCTTAGCTCAACTCGGGAAAGGAGGTGCAGTGCTCATGGTGTGCAGGACTTGTGGTAAGAAGGGTGATCACTGGACATCAAGGTGCCCTTACAAGGACCTTGCTCCTGTGGCTGAAGGATTTATTGACAAGCCTGCGGCATCTGAAACCGCTGCTGCTGCTGCTGCCCCTGGCTCAGGCAAGAGTACATATGTTCCTCCAGGCATGAGAGCCGGGGCTGAGAGGAGTGGAACCGATATGAGACGCCGGAATGATGAGAATTCTGTCCGTGTGACCAACCTCTCTGAGGATACCAGGGAACCTGATTTGCTTGAGCTTTTCCGGCCATTTGGTGCTGTAAGCCGAGTTTATGTTGCCATTGACCAAAAGACTGGCATGAGCAGAGGTTTTGGTTTTGTTAACTTTGTTAACAAGGAAGACGCCCAGAGAGCCATCAATAAACTGAATGGCTATGGCTATGACAATCTCATCCTCAGGGTTGAATGGGCCACACCAAGGACAAACTAGGTTTTTCCTTTGATTACTAGATCTTAGAACAGAGAGGGGAAAAAGAAAGTTTACTGGTTCCTAGCCTGGGTTTATTAAAAGATGTTCATCAATCTGGGTTTGATGCAACATCTCTGCAATTCTCCCTCTCCCCCCCTTTTTTTTATTTTTTTAGTATTTACCATACTATCTTAGACAACGTGGCTTTTTTCATTGTTAAGGTTTATGTTTCTTACCGTTTGAAATTACTTGTATTTTTTCCTTCCTCTATATTTGTTTAACAAATTGAGATAGAAATTTTCATCACAAGTGGATAGAAATTATGGTTTGTGTGGTTTAATTGTTACATTAAACTAATATTTAATAAAATAATTGATATTTATTACCCATCAAACTAAACATGCTAAGTCTTCAAGTCTTTGGATGGTATACAAGTGAATTTAATTTCCCATATTTAATATGCGGGGTGTGAACAAAAGCACCTCATTTATCATTTTCCTTTTGAATCAGCAAGAAGATGCGTTGAACTGGAACTTTAGATCCAATGGTTCGATCCCATGCTTTAAGTGTTTGGGTGAGATGGTCGGAATTTCTAGCTCTATCACCGTCGTGAACTCCACCAGAAAACGGCGTGATGGCCATATGCCTCATTTGAGGGGTGGAATGTTCACCTTATCTGGGATCAAATCCTCAGTTGCTAACAATTAATTCATATTAATTTATTAACTATTATCCTTCTAAAAAAAAAAAAAAGAAAAAGAAGAAGAAAGAAAGAAGCAAGCAAGAAGATGTGTTATTGCCTGCTGAAAATATCATCATCATCATCATCTTTCCTTTATGGCACATGAACTAGTCAATAGGCAGAGGTGCAATAAAGCCTCCATACCAGTTTTGTTTCAATTGATCCCCACAAAAGTAAATTTTATAAGGTTTAAAAACCACAACTACAAGTCTACAACCAAAATTAACGAGGCAAGATAAGGCTGTTGCTTTTTTCTAAAAGTATATATTATTAAAAATATTAAATTTATTGATTACAATTAAAATTTTTAAATGATTTTAATTAGTTTTTGTAAAAAAGAACTAGAAGAAGCCCAGATTCTTTTTTTTAATTGTATGCCCTGTATATATATATATATATCTGAAAAAAATATGTATTAATATCAATTTTTAAAAATAATTAAAGTTTTAATTTTAAATTATATCGTTTTATTTAATTAAAATTTAATTTAAATTTTAAAAAATTATTTTTATTAAATATTAATATATATATTTAAATTCTGATTATATTAAAATATATAATATATTTTTAAATTTAGATATCAATATTTAATAAGATAAAATTACAATTTTTAAATATAAGTTAAGATTTCAATTATTTTTGGGAAATGATTTTTGTGCAATTTTTTTGTTTCATCTTCTTGTACAACCTGATATATCATTAAAATAATTGATTCTTTTAATTGATGTGAAATTCATGATATTTAATGCATTCACTTATTTAATGACATAAAAATTATATGAAAATATGAGATAAAAAATTTATCCTTATAATATCATTATTTTTAAAATAGAGATGAATAACCACTAACCTCTTTATATAAAATATTCTCTATTTATCTCAGAGAAAATTATTTCAAAATTATATTTTTTTGACAAATTTTTATTTAAAAAATTAAAATATTTTATTTTTAAAATATGTATTAAATTATTTTTATAATAATTTATTAAAATGATATAATTTTAAAATAATTTTTATTTAAATCTTTAAGAGGTAAGGATATATATATATAACCAGAAATAAAAAATGTGCTCAAAGTGATAAAATTTATAAAAAAAAAAAAAGAAGAAGAAGGAAAGAAATTAAAAACTCTTCCAAACGGGCTCTCTTTTTCATCTCGTGACTCTGCTTCTTCAACATTCACTCTCCACTCTTCTACACTTCCTTCCCCACATTGGTTTCCTTAGAGATCAACTGGCTGTCAACCTCCTACCTCTCCATGGCTTCGGTTATTGAATACGGTTGGCGGGTACTCTTTTCTTTTCTGCTTTATTCTTGCTTCTTGCTTTTAGATTCGATCTATTTGCTGCTTCATTCATGCTTTGGATCTGTCTATGTGTGTTGTTAAGTTTCTTCGTCTGTTTGGTATTTTTCTGATATTCAGTCAAATGGGTGTTTTTTTTTACCATCTGGGGTTGCTTTGATTTGTCAAATTTCATTGTCGACTGTGACCGATGCTGACATTTGAGCTGCATTAGATGCTAGATGACGTCGGTGGTTGATTTTGGAGCTAGGATTGAGTAAAGGGTGTTCCTTTTTTTCTTTTCTCCTACTCGTACTTGAACGTAGCAATTTGGTATTTAAGATAACTGGTTTGAGCATCAAAGGTTTTCTTTTTATTTTTTCCTGCTGTCTTCTTGACTAGTAGGAATGGAAATCCAAATGGGTTTGGATTCAAATCTGGAGCTGGGGTAGCTTGGAGCAGTTCTTGCTTGAGATTACGATAGCCAATTTAGGGAAATTACCAAGAGAATAATGCTTGGCTTGAGATGGAACTCTTTTTACCACTAAGGAAAATATGTTTGATTATGTTGATTTCTTTTCTGGATTCATAATTCATTCAATTTTTTTTAATCTTGGTATGTTCTTGGTATGCACTTCATAGTAGTTCTTGTCAGGAAATGTTCTCCTCTGAAAAAAGCTTCTCTGTTTATGATGCAGTATCTGATTACACATTTCAGCGACTTCCAACTGGCATGTCTGGGAAGTTTCTTGCTTCATGAAAGTGTATTTTTCTTCTCTGGGCTTCCATTTATTTTTCTGGAAAGGGCTGGGTTGCTGAGCAAGTATAAGATTCAGGTTTAACAACTATCCTTAAATCTTATGTTATTAATATTAATATATGATGCTAGGTACTTCACATAGATATCTATTTTTAAAAATAGTTGTGCATGAATGTCCCATTAAATTGCTTGTTTTTTTTCACACTAATGAATTGAAGATAAATTTTACTTTAATAATATTGTGTACTCTATTTTTAATAGCATCCTCTAATATGAATTCAAGATACTAGTTGTGTCTTATCTTGCATGAGTAATTGTAATTTTATTCTGATTCTTAATTTCTGTTTCCATGCAGACCAAAAACAACAGCCCTGCTGCCCAGGAGAAATGTATCACCCGATTGTTGCTGTATCATTTTTGTGTCAATCTACCAGTTATGATTGCCTCCTATCCTGTCTTCAGATACATGGGCATGCGAAGTAGTTTTCCATTGCCGTCCTGGTATTTTCAGGTTCTTTATACGCTAGAGCTTTTTTTTCCTCCTCTCCCATTCAGATACTCTAGGATCACTATAGCAGTTTTTGCAACTGTTACCTTTGAAGTATGTCTTCTATGGATCTGTATAAATATATGCTAATGCTATCATATTTGGAACTCTAATTAATAGATCTCTAGCTTTCTTTTTGATGGTTAGTATGTTGATATTTGGTTATGCAGGAAAGTTGTTTCGACTCAGATAATATTCTATTTCATCCTGGAGGATTTTGTGTTTTACTGGGGGCATCGTGTTTTACATACAAAATGGTTATACAAACATGTGCACAGTGTTCATCATGAGTAAGTTTCTGAGTATCAAGGACTGACATGATGAGTTGAACTCTGAACAAATTCCTTTCTGTTTCTATTATAGGTTATTTTTTCTGTGCTTACTAGCTGCTTATATCACATACAGATATGCTACACCATTTGGACTGACATCTGAGTATGC